TCGATCTGGAAGTTATTGTTGTGCTTTTATTTATGTCTTAAAGGGGACTTATTATGCAAAATGCTCTTCTCCATGTCTCTTCTACATCAACATGTGTCCCCTCTTCTTCATGTCTCTTCTACACCAACATGTGTCCCCTCTTCTTCATGTCTCTTCTACATCAACATGTGTCCCCTCTGTGGAAAGAGACTGAAAGTTTCAGGAACAAAGATTCTCTCTCTTTTTGTCCTGATCCATTTCTATAAAAACCTGTCTGAAAATGAGTGGATCAGATTTCGGCCACTTTATGATGTCATAACGATGTTTTGGCTTTTGGTGTAACCATTAGCCAATCAGCAACCAAGATAACCCCCCCCCCCCTTATCACCTGAATCTCCTCCTAGAGCACCATTGAGTTCTTTGTAACCAAATCTCTCTCAGAGGGGCGTGGGGAGGGGCTCCTTATTTTCATCTAAAGTAACAGACAGAGAATCAGCACTTTGGAAACAGGGCTGAAACAGAGGGGATTATGGGTAATGCTGCAATGATCTGTTTGGTGTTTCAGCCAATCAGAGACAGGTTCTGGATATATCTGAGACCTGTAATATATTGATGAAAAACAGTATGACCTTTGAAAGAAGAACTACTGTAACCCAGCACCGATCCAATTAGTTATTTATTTATTTTTTCTTCCTCAGAGTTCAGAAAGATGCAACAACGGCCTCCGTGATCTCGGACGCTGCGGCGGCTCTCGGGCTGGACCCCGGACGCTTGTATGTGCTGGCGGAGGTGAAGGAGTGTGGGGGGGAGGAGTGGGTCCTTGAGGCCGGAGACCTGCCCGCTCAGAGGTTCCTGCTGTGGCCCCGCAAAGCCCAGGAGACGCACCCCCGCAGCCTCGGATTCTACTTCTTACTACAGGTAGAGTTCACTTTGCAGACCGACATCGTGAACTTAGGACACTGAGAAGCATCCTCCCACCGTCTGACCCTTGCTTTTTGCTTCCTTCTGCTTTTCTCTTCCTCTCTGTTCAGTGAGAAACAAAAACAAGTGGTCAAGCTAGATAACACTTTCTTTACACACAACAAAAGCAGTTAACCAAGCTACGTTAAAAGTATTTTACAATATAATTTCATCCCTTTTAATACAATGCTATTTGAGACTGTGCTTAAAGGAATATTCACAAACAAAAGCACCATTTGTATATAAATAACTCACCCTATGTTACCTTGAACCCCTAATGTTACCTTGAACCCCTATGTTACCTTGAACCCCTATGTTACCTTGAACCCCTATGTTACCTTGAACCCCTAATGAAAACTTTAGTTTTTCGGGCGAAACCTCACTGATAAGTGAAGAATCAAAAAATGGAGAACATTTTAAAGAATTTAAGTAAATGAGGGTTAAGTTTAACAACAGCAAAACTATATTGAAAAACATTGGTTTCTCACACAACTATTTCAATATAATCCGAGTTTCATTGATCCAGTTGTATTCTAGCTACTTCCCAAACACATGCATTAGAACTAATATCTTACTTATTAAACACGTCTGCATACAAATATCTTTTTTTCCAAAGTGTTTTAAATACCAAAGTGTATAGCAAAAATGCATGTGAATGGGAATGACTGAGAATACAACTGGATAAATAAGACTCAAATTAGGCTTGCAATATACATATAGTTGGGAAATTAACTTTTTTACACATTTTTGAAAATGTAACAAAGAGAATATTTGTATTTCTCTCAGACATAGTGTATCAGTCTTAGCAATTAATGGCTAAGCTAATTTCAGCTCTTTCTGTTTCCCTCCCTGAACCAGGAGAGGAACCATGATGGCACCATCCACTATGTCCACCTCCCTCCAGTGTCTAAGGAGCAGGAGGCGCAGCTCGCAGCCAGAGGCTTCCTTCCTCCTCCACAGGACGACTTCGCAGACCTGTGCAACCTCCCCGCCCTCAATGAGGGCAGCATATTAAACAACCTGCGCACACGCTTTCACAAGAAGAAGATCTACACCTATGCAGGCAGCATCCTCATCGCCATCAACCCCTTCAAGTTCCTGCCCATCTACAACCCCAAGTACGTCAAGATGTACGAGAACCACCAGCTGGGCAAACTGGAGCCTCATATCTTTGCCATCGCGGACGTGGCTTATTACGCCATGCTCAGGAAGAGAGTGAACCAGTGCATCGTCATCTCCGGGGAGAGCGGCTCCGGAAAGACCCAGAGCACCAACTTCCTGATCCACTGTCTGACCGCGCTCAGCCAGAAGGGGTACGCCAGCGGGGTGGAGAGGACCATTCTGGGAGCTGGACCCGTGCTGGAGGTAAGATGCTAATGTCGTGGATCCGATGTAACACTCACAACATTAAAGGTCACCTATTATGCTTTTCTACATCAACATGTGTCCCCTCTTCTTCATGTCTCTTCTACATCAACATGTGTCCCCTCTTCTTCATGTCTCTTCTACATCAACATGTGTCCCCTCTTCTTCATGTCTCTTCTACATCAACATGTGTCCCCTCTTCTTCATGTCTCTTCTACATCAACATGTGTCCCCTCTTCTTCATGTCTCTTCTACATCAACATGTGTCCCCTCTTCTTCATGTCTCTTCTACATCAACATGTGTCCCCTCTGTGGAAAGAGACTCTGAAAGTTTCAGGAACAAAGATTCTCTCTCTTTTTGATCCATTTCTATAAAAACCTGTCTGAAAATGAGCTGATCAGATTTTGGTCACTTTATGATGTCATAACGATGTTTTGTCTTGTGTAACCATTAGCCAATCAGCA